AAGAAAATGGGGCCATACCAACTTCGAATCGGTGGCATTTGGTAGAAAGCCTGGAAGTCTCTGGACCGGGATTATTATATTATTTCATCATTTCCCTTTGGGTTTCAACTGTGCTGAGTTGACCAATCCATGACATGTATCAGGCTGGATGTAACACATCTATATCTATTCATCTCTATCTCTTTATCTATATGGATATACAGATTGTCTGTTGTGCCCGAGTCCTAGAATACCCCCAAGAAGACCAACATGGAGCCATACTTCCTAAATGCAAAAGCAAGGTTTTGTATCAAAGTACGGGCTAGCACGGATCCTCTGCCTCACAGTCTGACACAGCAGATGTAGGGAAAAGGACCTTGTCTACTATTGTAAGGGGTTTATAAGGACAAAAACCACAAAACAGTCACAACGTTACAGTCTCAAAATATAAAATTATGTATCCTATATCATAAATGGCTAAAGACTAGGTGATAAGCTATTATTGTCTAAGGGAGATAGCAACAGCCCCCCTAGTTATATCTTCCAGACAGCTGCTGACTCTTTGCTAACCGCAGGGGCTATCTGAAATATTACCCAGCTGACAGGGGAACTTGGGTGGTCAACATTCTCTGTATGACTATGGGTTGGGGAATGGGCTGCAGCCAGCAACTTTGTGTAACTTAGGTTTTTCCATTAGCTAATACTTCCCCTGAAGAGGGGTCCCACAGCCTTCAGCTTATCCCCGGGGACTGGGGTGTCGGCCTTCATCTTTTCTTTGGCCTTCATCTTTTTCTGGGGGCTGATGTGTAGTTCAAGGTCCCAAAAGGGCCCAACACAGAAATGGAATCTTTTCCAACCTTTCAGTCCATTTGCATATTTGAATTTTAGGGGTTGTACGTGGTCTCCATGGAGGTTTTTCTTCATGAGCTCACTAATATGTGTTTGGAATGTGGCCACGATGGACAATGGTGTTCAAACTTCTTTAAGTCTCTAGGGTTGCTTATGCTTTGTGGCTATTTGCTGCCAGGTTGGAACTATTGTTTTAGACCTTTTAGACGAAATTGGCAGAAAACATAAAACGAAAATAAAAGCCGATCTTTACCAAGACAGTGCCCATTGTCTTTCCATGGGGAGAAATTATCCTCAGTTCAGTTGTATTACCATGGTGACATATGCGAATCTCAACAAAGCCCAGTTATACCATAAAGGAGGGCTCGGCACATCAAGCTCCTATTTCTGGCAATTTTGTTTCAATGTCTTTGACTAAAATCTCCAATGTCCTGGATAAAAACACACACTAAAAATACTCCTAAAGCAGACAGAACAATCTGGATAGTGTATGTCAAAATTCTAAGAAATCTCATAAAAATGAGGAGAAAAGCAGGTATTATTACAAAGGAGTAAAAAAAAAATCAAATGGAAAAAAAATAGCCAGTGAATGAACAGAAATATCTGCACACTCTCTAATATAACATTGTTTCTATAAACAAAAACAAGCAAGGGATGGTGCCCACAGTAATTGGACATGTGGTTGGCCTCCTGAGGGCTGAAATAAGTAAACAGAGCTGCAAGCACACATTCTTATCCAAGCTGGTCCTTTCCTCCTGCTTATGAGGCTCGTGTTTCTTAGTAGAGCTGCACACAGTGAGATGGACTTTGAGTTTTGTAAGAGTTCCTATAGTCAGCATCAGTTGATACAAGAACTAGTTTGGTCCAACGGTGTTTTGTAACAATTTCGGCAGAAGAATCTGAATAGCAAGTCCTCTGTCCTAACCAGTCGGCAGAGTGTGGGGATTAAGAGTGGGACAGAAACGCCCAACAGCTTTCTCACTTCTGCTACAACATGGCATGCAGACAGACAACCACTGCTGCATACGTGATATCATTTTGCCTAGGGATGGCACCAGGGAAATAGCTTCGTTCTGTAAGTGACCTGAGGCACAGGGTTTGTGAATACAGAAAGGGTGAGACTCAGGTCTCTCAGGTCCATTTGGCAGCCTGTTTCTCACAGCCTAAATGCTATTGCCAGTTCTTAGCAGTTTCAGAAAGTTGATGAGGACCAGGAGGAAGTGAACAAGAAGGCAAATGAAAAAAAAAAAAAACCAATCCAAACCAAACCAACCAAAGAAACAACCAAACAAAAATCCTGCTACCAATGTTGTGAGCTGAGATTTTCTGAGAGTCTCAGATAAGGTTGACACTGAAGAACCAAGGAAAGAGGAAATATTGAAAATGCGATTGTGTGGTGTAATGTATCCAGGAAGGGACAAGGGTCAGTGATCTGAACCTGAGTGGAAGTCGTCTTAAGCTAGGAGAAGACATATCTCATCAGCAAAGAGAAACAATAAGTCTGGCACTGCTTACATTACAGGAAGACTTGAGCCTTCATGCCCAAGGTGCCAGTTCACAACCACTGAGCACTAGGGAGACCTTGCACTGACTCCTATACAGATTTCATCTTCTAAACCACCTCCACAAGCTGGACTTTCCTATCTCCATTGTATTGAGGTTGAGAAGCTTGCATGAGGTCACTCAGCTTGGCTTAGCAATAGGGACAAGTTGTGGCTCAGGTAGTCTATCCCTAGACTGTCCTTCTATAGCAGGAGCATATTCTTGTAGAGTCACAACATGCGTTGAGACTGAGAGTGACAGCTGATGCTCAGTGAAGGCAGTTGATGATTTGTCCTTGTATCTAGTGGAGCGCAAAAACAATGTCCAGAATAACAGACATTACTACAACTTGAGGCTCACATCTCTTGTGGATATATGCATTATGTCATACCTCTCTACATAGTCATAGTCATGCAAAAATATTTCTTAAGTCTCCCAAATTCCTCAAATAATCAAACATTCCAAATGTTTTCTGAGCATAATTCCAGGGAGTCCAGAAACAGTCTGGTTGGTGCGGGCAGGAAGCAGAAGGAGAAATGTCTACCTTGCCAGTGAGCCCTCTTACAGACAATGCCACCAGGGTACCAGTACCCAGCCTTTGTTATATGCTTGCCTTCGCCTCCATCAAGCAAACCTACTCCTGCCCATTTCAGGAGATTGGATAGTATTCCAGTGTCCCACATCCTCACCACCCTTCTCATTCAGATAAGAGTTGTGCTCACATTCTAATCTAGGACTTGACAAGTATTACATAAACATTTAATTCACTTTAATTTCACTATACATTTGAGGAGGAGGATCTACACAAAGGGGTGGGGGTGATAGTCCCCTTGCCAGCAATTAGATGAACATAATAACCTGCCATGAAATCTCATTTCGGACTCTTGGTTACAAACTAAACCAGACTAGTAAGTTCCTGGACTGTCAGAGGGGCTCAGCTGCCTCTCCTCAATGTTCTGGCATTCAACACAGTAATTCCCAAAATGGGCAGAGCATGCTCTGTGATTCTCAGGTGACCAATCTCTCCTGTGACACTTCGAGGAAAAAATGGTATTTTCATTGATCTTGCTATATCAATATCAGCATTTTTTCCCCAGAAGGCCCTCCTGAGGATATGAGGAGACAAGCACCATAGGTTAAATTGTTGTCCCCAGCCTGCTCACACTTTATATGCTAACTGCCCTCCCAGTAGTCAGAGGATGACTTGCTTTGTATTTCTTTAGCCTTTCCCAGACAGTTTACACACCGACTACTTTTCATCCCCAGTCTTTCCATAACGGACACAAGATGGCCTGTTCTTCGGGAGGGTTGCATCTGATGTCCCGTGGTAGAGAGGGTCGACTTTCTTTGGCAATTTTCTTTGAGCTGATCAATTGCTGAGTAACCTGGGAGCTGTTTCCATCATCAAGTGCAGGGCTGAGACTTAATTACATCAGAATTCTAATCTTAGCTCTGACCCTCATTACAGCATCCTTTTGTGCAAGTCCCTTGGCCCCTCTTGGTGTCTGTTTTATATCAATCAAATGAAGAATATGAATGCAACTGGCCTGTCTGTGCTCTTGAGAGCAAAGAACAGGAAGCAGATTTCCTACATTGTCCCCAAGTGCTTGCCAAGAATAACCTAGGCAATGTAACCAGGCCACCTAGTCTGGTGGTAAGCACCCGCTTCATAAATTTATGTCATTAAATGGCATTCAAGTCCCTCAATGACAGAATCATCTTCTCTAGCATCAGTTTTGGGAGTCCGGAGAAGATTTCCATGAGAGGCAAGGCAGGTTAGACCATAGTGCATCAGAGGGCCCTACCAAGGGTGAGGCATATCCACCTTGGATCATGCTGGTATGGTTCATTTGTATCAATATAATTCCCAGTCTTCATGCATTTTTACTACCCAACTGATGGCTCCTTTAGAAGTGGGTACAGGAGGAGGGTCCCACTGACTTTTTAGAAAAGGACCTTTCATTTGGAATCATCTCCTGTTATGTATGGTGATGAAGGCAACACACATTATGACCATAGCAGTAACTCAACTCAACGTGTGCTTAGAAACTCAACTCAACATGTGCTTAGAATAATACACATTTCACAGTGGATAAAGATATATACTAAAGCTTGGTTGGAGCCTGCCACAAATGAGGGATGGTGGGTTTTTTTTCTGTTATGGCTCCATTTTCTTTTGTTTCCCCTCATTTGTTGGGAGACACAAAGAATGCGGGCGTAGATTTTACTGCCTCTAGCAAACCAATGTCATTTCTCCCTCCCCTAACCTATTATTCTTGACCCTGCCAATGTGTGAGGAGCCCTGAATGTCAGATCCCCGGTATATTAGTAACACATAAAACCATGTCTGCAAGATCTTGGGAAATAATTGCAATCACACCAGTGACTCGGATCAGAATTGGGCTGTAGTAATGGGATCATGCAAAGCACATAGAGACTCCAACTTCAAATGTGGGGCCTTCATAGACCACCAGGAAATATCTGAGTGCACATTTCTTTCTACACACATGTTTATGACTGGAGAAAAATTAAAAACAACAGACGTAACATTCCTTTCTGGGTGTCTGTCTTCTGAATCCAGGATACTGTCTCTGACTTTGCCTGTTCCTCTTATTCCTTTGTCATCCTAGAAAAAGCAAGTGAGTCAGACCAAGATCCGGGTCATCTCAACTATTTTGTTCATCTTGGCTGGCTGCATCGTGTTTGTGACAATCCCCGCTGTCATTTTTAAATACATCGAGGGCTGGACAACGTTGGAGTCCATTTACTTCGTGGTGGTCACCCTGACTACAGTAGGCTTTGGTGATTTTGTGGCAGGTAAGCAACCTGGACTTTCCCAGTCACTTGAGCTTTGGTGGGGAAAACATTGTTGGGTGTCCTTTTCCAAATCATGGTGACAGGGAGTTGGGATTTAGCCCTGTTCTAATCTGGTTGGCCAGCATTCCCAAGGCCTTTGGTCCAGGTCCGCAGCTTTGGGAAGAATCAAAATCATGTTAACAGGTATTTGCAGAGGAGGTAAGTAGAAATGGCTCAGTGTTTGTCAACTCAGTGTGATATGAGCAGCATCAAGCTATTTGTTTATTTATTATTTTTTCTGCCTGAGAAGAAAGCCAGGCCCCTCCTCCTTAAGATGCTGACTTACTGGCTGTCATCACTGCATGAATTATGTAAGGGAGAAACAAATTTCTCACTGAATCTTTGATTTCTCAACTGCATTAAGGTTTCCCAAGTTAACTTGATAAAAGGCCATAATTAGCCAAAGATCAGACTCAAGAGCAGTTGACACGGAGGTTGGTCTACAGAAGCAGGCAGGGGAAAGCTCCTCACACTGAGGTGAAAGTCACTGTCTCTGCTGACCAGACACAGGATCCCCCCAGTTGTTTCTTGTGTACAAGACCCAACCACAGAGGTCTGGATGGAGTTCTAAAGCTTGAGGGAGAACCCGAGCTGCAAAGAACAACTTTCAGCATATAAGCATATTCATTCTATAAGCATATTTAGGCCGCCCCTTTGTATCATCCATAGACGATGGTCCCTGGGGAAAGTCAGATGAGGTTCCAATCTAGAAGAAATACCTGTGAGAGCAGAGAAGGAAGAGCTGCTTCACACCAATTTCAAAGACTTCCCAGGGTCATTTGCAAAAGCTGGTGTTTTGACAATGTCTGGGCTAATATCACTGACCTGAGGACTAAAGACAGCTTGCACACTGGTGACAGACCCCAGTCTCCAACCAATAGCTCTGGTCAACCTGTCAGTCAGGACAAAGGACAGCTCTGACTGTGAGAACTAGCCAAATGTTTCTGCCTTTCCTCCTTGCTTTTCTCTTGACTGTTGATTAAGAGAAAGCGCTCCTAAAAATGGGAGTGGCCTGGTGAGCTGAGGGAAAAGTTCGAAGCCCATTTATGGTTTTTGGTTATTATTACTAGCTGCTGTGGACTGAACTCTTGGTACATGCTGGCCCTTTATCCTCAGACCTCTATCGTTTGGGTGGGTCTCTTCCTTACTAGAGATCACAGAACTGTACTTTCTTTTCACTCAGAGGCCTCCATAGACTAAGGTTTCTTAGCATATATAATGCTCATGGAATGCACCATGTTCTTTAATTTATACATATGTAATATGTGTGTCTGTATGAGCATAAGCACATGTGTGTGGGTGCAGGTATTGAGTGTCCTTGACTGTCATTCTCTGTCCACTCTTTTGAGGCAGGGTTTTTCCCTAAATATGGGGCTCAGATTTTTTTTTGTTGTTGTTGTTTAAACTAGAAGCTATCAAACCCCAGTAATGTTTCTGTTTCTGTCCTCCTTGGAGCTGGGCTAACAGGCATACATGGGATGTCCAGTTTGGGAGGCGGGTGCTGGGATCCCAGCTCAGGTTCTCATGCTTGTGTAGCAAGTGCTTTTGAAATTGCTAGGCTGTTCCTTCAGTATCTGCCAAAGTACAGTTCCCAGAGCTCACGTGGATCCACCTGTTGAATATTTGTGGAAAATGTACTTAGTGGGATGTTTTATCAGTGTATTTATTAATAGAGTGCGCTTGGTACCTCCAGAGGATTGACTATGGGAATCTGTAGACACTAAAATCAGCAGATGCTCAGGCCCCTCATGAGAAACAATGTAACTTTTACCCAGAATTGACGCTCATTGTCTTGTGCATGTTAAACCATCTGTGTGCAGATGTCTTGTTCTTAATACAATGTGAACACTATGCAAACAGTCAGCACACTACAGTGTTTAGCGACTGATGAGAAGAAAAAGGCATGCACGTGTCCACCTCTGGTTGAATTCACCCAGACAACTTGTGGATATGGAGGGTCAATATTCTGACTGACAGGGAGGATTGCTGGACTATTCAAATGATGTAGATGACCAAGAGCTGGTGGTCACCGTGATCTTACTGGGTATCACCTCTACCAGAATATGACTGGAAATGCAAACCACTCGGGATTGATTGTTGCTTCATTTTGCAGCTGACCTACTTGGGGACAGCCTAGTGGCACCACAGTATTTCACAGCTCTGAGCGGGACTGCACACAGAGCTTGCCATTCTGGCCATGGCTGATGAACGTCTACACAGAAGGATGTGGTCTGGGTTGTTGGCTAGTGTCTGCCCCAGTGACAGTCTTGTCTGGGTTCTAGTGACTTGCAAAGGCAAATACTTAATCCAAAGTGGAAAAAGCACAAAGAAATGAGTCCAGCACACAAAGAAAATGAAATGAGCATCAATTCTGAAGAAGGTTGGCCGCAGGGGAGAAAAAGAAGGCACCTGAGCAAAGCAAAGAGACGCCAGACACCTCAGAACCTTGTGCCAGAGCTGGGAATCCTTTTTCTCCCTATTTTTTTTTCTATCATGTTTTCCTGTACTTATGAATGTGCACAATGCATGTACCTGGTGCCCTTCAGAAAAGAAGGTGTCAAATCCCCCAGAATGTGAGTTACATTTACCTGTGGGTCCTCTGCATGAGGGCCCCTCAGGCACATCTCCAGACCTATTCTTGTTGCCGTAGAATTCATGGGTTGTGTCGCAGAGTAGGTTTGGATTTATTAAGACCCATGGGTCCCAGTGGGTGTGCACCAGGCTTTTCAAGGTATTCTTGACACAATAGAGCTCAGTACAGTTTCGGTGATGCCAGGTATGGAGGTAACCATGACCCAAGGGGAAAGGCTAGAGATCTTTCGTCACCCAGTGTCCTAATGTGAGTTGTCTTAGAGGCACCCTGCTTGCTCTCTGGGTGAGTGAGTGGTGCCCTCAGCAGTGCTAGTATGGAGGCTAGAACAAGTTGGCTAATTATTTGGAATAAATGACCATTTGTCTTACTGGAATAGCTAGTCAATACCGTTAGGCAACTGGCCAATTTGTTTTGATGGATTTTTTTTTTTTTTACTGTGATCCTTATTTATACGATGATGAGATTGAACTAGTTGGTCTCACAGGTACTGTTTAGCTCTAGGATATGGTGATTCTAATTGCTTGGCCTAATTGACCCCAGGATGAGCGTCATGTAAACACCATCCCTCTCACGTTAGCATCGGATCGCTACTTCACGGATCAAAGTCTCAGTAATGTTGTCACATCTAATTCTACTTCATTTTCTACCCACTCGTTTTCTTGGTAAATGCAGGCAGAATTTCGAAGGAAACAATTCCAAGGGCTTGAAATCTCACTCTTCCTCTCCCTTTCTTCCCCTTCTCTGCCTCCACTCTTTCCTCTGCCCTCCCTTCCCCTCCCATTCTGGCTTCTCCCTCTTCCCTGTTCTCTCCCCTTCTTCCACCTCCTACTCCTTTCCACTCTGTCTTCTCCTTGTTCCCCCTGCCCACCTCCCTTCTCTCCTTTCAAGAGTCAAGTTCTCATTACGTAGCTCTGGCTCACCTGGAACTCACTGAATAGCCCAGGCTGGTCTTCAATTGACAGTGGATCCTCCTGTCTTTGCTTGAGTGACAGGGTGTACTGCTGAACCCTCACAGTGGTAAGGTAAATTTAGAGAAGTTTGGTAAAAACAGAACGACAGGTGGGCTGACATCTGAGATACTTTTTCTGTGAAGTCCAATTCTTTGCCAGTGAGAGTAGATAACTCCAAGTGGCTACTGACATTTCTCTGTTGCAGAATTGAGGTTTATTTTTAGTGGTTAAGAATCAAAGAAATTAATCTACAAGCAAGCCTCCAGCTTTTGTGATGTTAATGGCTCTCACTGGATTATGGAATGATAGTGTTCTCCACAAACTGGAACGTGCTCTGTGAAGATCAACTGCTGACCATTTGCTTGTTAAAGTACCATTTGCTTGATTTCAGGGAGAAATGCTGGCATCAACTACCGAGAGTGGTATAAGCCGTTGGTGTGGTTTTGGATCCTTGTTGGTCTTGCCTACTTCGCAGCTGTCCTTAGTATGATAGGAGACTGGCTGCGCGTTTTATCCAAAAAGACGAAAGAAGAGGTAGGACTCCTTCCTGACCCCCAAAATGTCTGTGACGTCCCATTAGCCCTTGTTGAGAATGCCTGTTTCTGAGTCCAGGAGGGGATTTTATGAATTCTCTTTCTGTCTATTTAGAAGCAAAGTTGAGTGGACAGTAGTCATTTTTAGAACCTTTAGTAACTTCTTAAAAATGTTAAAAAACAAAAAAAGGGAAATGGCCAGTGAGGGTGGATGGTTGCCGCAGGAAGAACACAGTTGTCTGTGTTAGCAGACACATGGGAGGCTCTGTGGACTTGTAGGGAGCCTGGGGAAGCTGGCCTGTCCTCCATGAGGTAAAAGTCACTGAACAGTGGCCAGCCATAGGGCCATATTTCCCATGTCCCACCATGGTCAAATTCTCAGATTTTATTCCTGATACCTACAATCTTCACTCCTAGATTATTATATGAAACTCTACACCACTGGTTCTTAACCTTCCTAATGCTGCAACCCTTTAATACAGTTCCTCATGTTGTGGTGACCCCCAACCATAAAATTATTTTATTGCTACTTCATAACTGTAATTTTTCTACTGTTATGAACTGCAATGTAAATATCTGATATACAGGATATCTGATCTGTGACCCCTGGTGAAAAGCCTTGTTTGACTCCCCAAGGTTGCAAAGGCAAGAAAAGGAAGACAAGAAGAAAAGACACATTCAAAATGTCATTCCTCTGCGAGGAGAGGAAAATAAGTACGTGGGAGAGGGAGTTAAAAAGGACACAAGAGGGACAGACACTTCCTTTAATGGTAGCTGCTCAATTTGTTTGGTCTAAAGGGACCTGGGAGACAGCTGCTGAAGGAGCTTTCTCCCTCCCACAGTTCATAGGCTTATACTGCTCCCAGCTTGTGTAAATGCTGACAGGACCATTTCCAGGCGGATTCCCCTGATGACTAACTGACCCACTGAATATTGATTTTAAAAAAAAAAGGACGACACCCATATAGACTTTGCTAGATAGTAAACCTTGAGTAATTCACCTGTATAGGGAAGCAGGATGCATATGGGTACCTCATGCCCTGTCGATTGAGCAACCAAGGAATTTGGCAATGAGTCTCCAGCAAAACTTCACTCTCTAAGAAAGCATTTTATGTGGCTTTTGTGAAGAATGCCCTTTTCCTGCATCTTAACCATGGAAATATGGTTATCAGGCCCCTTGGAGGGGCTTCCTCAGCCAAGACAAGTCCCTTAGCACAGGGTTGTAGTGTGCCTCCAATAGAGCGGGGCTAACTGTCCATCACAGTTTGCCAAGGACATAGGGGACTTTCTAGGGCACAGGATTTTTTCTTTCTCAATACCCCAGAATCAAACCCTGGGGCCTTGCACATGCTAGGCTGGTGCTCGTCCCTGGAGTTCTATCCTCAATGTTCAGAATTCAGGAAGCTGGGACAGGCTGGTCATCTTACCCAGACAGAAGTATTGCAAAGACGGGAAAGGACAAAGATTTGTTGAGCACTGACTTTATGGCCTGGACTGAGTTAGGTGTGGCCTTTAATGTTATGATAGAAATTCCATGAGACAGATTTGTGTAAAAAAAATGGGGTCTTACAATGAAAAGAGAGAGAGCAAGTGGAACCCAAATCCTGATCTCTCTTCTAGATGCTATCTGCCTCTATTCAGTCATAATTTCCAGGCTCTCCCTACTTCATTGGTCCATCACTAGCCAGTCCAACGTGGGTGACTAACTGGATGGCAGGCAGTACCAGAGAAGACAGACAGAGTGTTTTCTCTTTCCTTAGACTATCATTGCTCCGTCTCCCCCAGAGACAGCCTCCCTCCTGGGATGCCTGAGGGCTGTGGGATTCTGAGAAGCATGAAGCTGGAGGGATTTCTTAGTTTGTTCTTGCTCCTCTGTCTTGTCCAGGTGGGTGAGATCAAAGCCCATGCAGCCGAGTGGAAAGCTAACGTCACCGCCGAGTTCCGGGAGACCAGAAGGCGACTCAGCGTTGAGATCCATGACAAGCTGCAGCGAGCAGCCACCATCCGCAGTATGGAGCGCCGGAGGCTGGGCTTGGATCAGAGGGCCCACTCTCTGGACATGCTATCCCCAGAGAAGCGTTCTGTCTTTGCAGCCCTGGATACAGGACGTTTCAAGGCTTCATCCCAGGAAAGCATCAACAACCGACCCAACAACCTGCGCATTAAGGGGTCAGAACAGCTCAACAAGCATGGGCAAGGCGCTTCTGAGGACAACATCATCAACAAGTTTGGGTCCACCTCCAAACTCACCAAGAGGAAAAACAAAGATCTCAAAAAGACCTTACCAGAGGATGTTCAGAAAATCTATAAGACCTTTCGGAATTACTCTCTGGATGAAGAGAAGAAAGAGGAGGAGACAGAAAAGATGTGTAACTCAGACAACTCCAGCACAGCCATGCTGACGGAGTGTATACAGCAGCAAGCTGAGATGGAGAATGGAATGGTACCCACAGACACCAAAGACCAGGGGCTGGAGAACAACTCATTACTTCAAGACAGAGAGTAAATGATAAAGACACTGGAGTTGGACTAAGTGTTGTCTTGTTTTTGTTGTTTTGTTTTCGTTTTTTTTTTCCTTTTTAAAATATTCACACTGAGACACGTGCCTTAAATAGACTTGTTAGTCCAAAATTACATAACATTGAAGAATATATTTCACTGTGCCATACACAACTGAAAGCTTGCTCTACCTAAAGGAATCAGATAAGAGCTTCATTTCAGATGGTGGCGGCAGGACACAGGGGGAGCTTTTGCACACGTAGCAGGTGTTGCCTGTCCCCGTGAGGGAGCTCCAGTGGCAGGTGTCGCCTGTCCCCGTGAGGGAGCTCCAGTGGCAGGCCATAGCCCTCACACAGTGCCACTCTGACGTGGTACGTAGGCAAGGGCAGCTATTCCTTCGACTAGCCTCTGAGAGGACAGGCTTGGCTTGTGGACGGAGTCTCCATTCCTCAACGTTCCTTTAGTGATAGGTTACACACCAAGGGGACAGCTGTTCACAGGTGGCCCTGTCACTCTAACTAGGGTTCAAGTGAACATTTTTGGCATGTCCTCAGCTTGAGTTTGGACAGGCCACGGCACAGAACTCCTACTCCAGACGAATGTCCTTGGGACCCAAGGGTACCTGGAGTTTGTTGGAAGCTGATCAGAGCACATGTTTAATAAAGGTGCAATTGCTTTTCTCATTAAAAAAGATATCACAGACTCCTCCCACTGTGGCAATCTCCTTAACCAATGGGAGAAGCCTACTGAACTTCGTCCTTTTCAGCGGATAGGTAGTTCAGGCAGGCTTGCAAGCATTGGTTAAAGCGCCACCTCAGCCACTGCCTGGTGGGAAGGCAGATGTTGCATTTTCTTCAGCGGGTGTGAAGATGAAAATAGCTGATTTTGGAGCATCCATACTCACTTTTCTAAGGGAACACGTTCATTCTAACTTCTTTTGATAGGCGGGAGGAAATACCAAAATTATTGCCTTTTGCATGATGCCAGTGGCTTGCTGCTCTGTCTAGCTGATCCTATTTTTTTTTTGAAAAAATAAAAGTAAAAATAGACATCTTGTGTTTGTGAGACACATCAAGAAGGACCCTGGCATCTTTTCATCTCAGGGCTTTTTGTCCTTTTGGGTGTCTTAGAGTAGACATAGCTATGAGACTCAATCTATTTCCATACAAGAGGAAAATGAATCTCTCACCCAATCCTTGTCTATTAAGATTGAAATGGTTTAAGTTGTTTGCAGCTTAAGTGCCATTAATACCATCTAAAAATAATACTGAAAAGGAGTATTGAAAAGAGTCCACTTCATTCTTGCATTTCACCATGTCTTTATCAATTTCATTGTATGCCTACCTTTCTTTATGCCTTTATTATGGGGGCATAACCCTTCCTTGTCGGTTCATCTCACACCTGCTACTCAAGTGGTATCTCCCCTGTCATTGTCTCTAGGCAAACAATGATCAACATGCACTAGCTATGCTTGCTTATCGGGTTACAATGTTCAGAGAAGGAACACTGTCGGAAAGGTCCTCTTGCAGGTTGTGGGAGGATGATTTTCAAAAGATTTTTATCGGGAAGGGGGAATTCATAGTAGGCTTTTTCTCTCACATGTGTGTGTTTCAGTTTTAACCAGATTTGGTTGGCATGTTGGTTCAGCTAGCTAGTGTTCTGGAACCCTTCATCTAAACATTGGATTCTGTAATACGAGAAAGTTGCTGGCTAGGGGTCTTCTAGACTCAGTACCATCTTTGGGGATTTCATGTAATTTTCTATAACTAAGTTCACAGAGCGTATTTAACAAAAGCTCAGAGCACAAGTGGAGACTTCCAGAAACCATCTGTCATTTCTGAGGGGAAATTTATGCCCATGGCCTCCGTGACCACTGGTACCATGGGAGACCCATCACCCCTGCCTGTCTCTCTGACATGCACTGCTTACAGCTGTCCCCTTCTTGGAAGCCAGAAGCCCCTGTTTCCCAGATCCCAACCCTTTAGGATCTTGTTAGCAAGCTGAGAAGTCAAATGAGAATCACTATGGTGAGGTCTTTTCTGTCAAGGGTTTGTCTGGACTAACTTCTCCATAGGAACAGAACGTTGGCTCACTGATACAGGAGTGGATGCAGGGCCTCCACTACAACTGGCTCATTGTGCTAAAGAACAGATAGACAAGTGGCATTTCTCTTATTCTGACAAGTTTCCCAATGAAACTGTATGTGGATCTCATTCATTTAGGTTTCCACTGTAAGGCACCTTGCTATGTCTTTGTGGTTGTATTAAAACTGCAGGCGCTGGATCTGTATCTGGTAAAGGAGCTTCCCTGTTGTTTGCACAGTGCCTTTCATGGGATTGGCACTGAATGGTACGTTTTATGGCACTCACTGAAAGCTCGCCACAGCATGTGGGAAGCATTTACACATCCTTTGTAGAGATGAGGATACAGAGACTCAGGGAGGCGAAGGAGCTGACCCGCAGTACACAGCAAGAGGGCCTTGGGGTCTGTTCGCAGTTCTGCTGCAGTGTCCACCTCCTGCACCTTCGTGAAAGAGCGCGTGCATGTGTGTGGTTGTGTGTGTCCCAAGTGTGAGGACGCACACATCTTACAAGTTTCATGAGCACAGCTGACAGGGAGGAGGAGAAGACAGGCATTTTTATCCCTATGAGGGCATGACGTTTTGGCTTAATCCTGGCCTTTAAGGTTGCCCTCGAAGACACATGTATGCTCTTGGCTTGGGGATGCCATAGACAGCACCTTTTCTGTGCCGCTGGAAATGCCCCTCAAAAGCACTCCTTTGCACTTTACTTGATTTTCACACAGAAACTCTTTCATACAGCAGGAATTAGACAGCTCAGAGGTCTTAGATACATGAGTGACCAAATGGAACAGGTGTGTGAGTTGGTGTGTGCATAGATGTATTCACAAGAATCAAACCACAGTAATACTGAGAACCAAGCATGACCTTGGACTGAGAGTGTATAACCCCTTCCCTGAGTGTTGGATGCAGGTTTGAAATGATGTCACAGAAGACCCTCTATGAAGATAGTGTATGTGGGCAAGGTATTCCAAAAACTATGAAGTACTCTCCAAAGGAGAGGCTGAAGAATGAGAGATGTAATTTCTCTTCATGTATACATGCTAAGCCTGTAGTTATTGGTTGTTTGGATGTTACCCCTGTAAAGATGGAGGCAAATAACAAATAGAACATATGTGATAAGACAGCTGCTATGTGTTCTATACAAATAGCCCAGGCTCTCTCCTTTCCATCAGTACCCCCTGCCTATCTTAAGCCCAGAATAAATGTATGGATGTTACATTTGGGAAGGGCACATGTTTGGTGTCTTCAGCGGGAAATTTTGTGCTTTATTTGGCAGCTGGGTACAGAACTGTCCTCTCTTCTGGAGGCTTACTGGAAACTGCCCAAAGGACAGTTTCGAGAGGCTATGTTCCATACCCAGTCCAAACTCAGTAGTGATTCACTCTGGCAGTCTGTCGGTTTGGGTATAAGGCCGTGCAGTGTGTATGTGTGTGGTGTGTGTGGTGTGAAAGGGATCACTGGCCTATAATTCAGGTATCTAGGATGACTGTGCTCCGCCACATTTCTGCCTATGCTCATGGGCACACTGCTTCCCCGTACCTCAACTGCACACCAGCGGAACTGAGCACAGGTTATGACCAACCTTTTTTCCAGTTGTGTAGTGTGCTGAGAGAATATTTCCCAACCCATGAGTTAAGTTTAGTGAGAAAATTATTAAGTTATATCTCTGAATATTAATGGCCCCACTCCTATCCTTGGCGTTTGTTTTTTTGCATGGTTGATGGAGACCAGATGTATTTGAGGGACTGGTGTCCAAATTAGGGTCACATCCCATATAGGCTCTCCCCACTGACCTAGTAGGCACACCTTCACCCGAAAGCTCACAGGATGCAGGAATTTTGGGGGTGGAGTGGGTTAGGGGCACGGCAATGGTGTTAAAACTAGTCAAAGAATTGTAAGCCTTTGCTATTTGCATTCAGTTCTACTAAAGGCTTCCTTTGATTGAGATGTCGATTCATGTCCTTCTCCTTCCCTCCTTCCAGTACACAAAGGCACACGTGCATGTAGGAAATGACTTTTTGGCTTCCATGGGAATAACTTCATGTGGAAAGTTCTAGTTGTACAAAATAGTAAACAACTCCTGCCCCTCTTCCGAGGTGTCATTTCCTGGGCAAGCCAAGCTGCATATTGATTTGTACGCTTGGTTTGAGGGAACTGGTGAAAAAGTGTGCCAGGGTTCTGACGCAGGGAGTTGTGGCTCCCTGGACTGGGGACGAACGTCAACTATCCAGTGTGCAGAATGGTTTCAGCATTAGAGCGAAGACACAAAAGGGCATGAAGTAAAACAAACTTGCAGAGCCTCTCTGTAAAAGAAAATGAGCCCCACTGCCCTCTGCAGTGTGGTCCTCGGCGTTTTGCCAATGCTCCATCTCTGGCAGTCTTTCTCACTGTTAGGATACAGCTGTGTGCTTAGACAGAGGCTGAGGGGACATGGGAAGCCTCTCCTCGTTAATGATGACCCCAAGAAGACTCGCGATGTCACTTTCATTTAGCATTGCGGGTGCTGTTGAGTCTGCATATGCTGCGGTAGTGGCAAGGCTCTGCTAGAATCCTACACTGTGCCCCTGTGCAGGAGCCATGCCACGTCTCATCACCCTTTCCAGGCTCCGCGTGCTTCTTGGTCCTCTCATGCTTGTAGAGCACACAACACCAGCTTAGTGGTATAGAGGAGGAGAGGTGTTTCTGACCTCCTGGATGGGATTTTCATTTTCACAGGTGCCTGAGTTGGGGACCCCCTTATGTTCTTTTTCCTTAAGTGAAAACAGTTTCCTATGTGTTCAAAAGAAGCCCCTTTGAGAAGACTTCCAGTCCATTAACTCAGTAGGCTTGCGCTACAGAGGCTGCTGCACAGTCTTGGCCCTGTGGCTAGTGCTCTGGCTGGAAGAGGGAAGCTTCAGGCATGCCTAGAAGTGATCTGCAAGTCACCATGTATGCGAACCTCTGTTCCTTTTCTGTCCCCGAGCTGCAGGAACCCAGTGATGGCAGATGATAAACCCAAGTGTGGAGATGTTTTGCTTATTTTTCTCTTTGTAGGATTTCATGGTGCTTATTTTTAATAATGTGTGTGGGGGCACTTCAAACTGTTCTTAGGAGAAGAGGTGGAAACCTGCTTGTAACATTTCGATAAGCTGTGCTGCTATTGTCCTTATTTGATGATGTAATATTTTTTTTCCAATGATGGAGAACATTGCAACAAAGACCTTCTGGAAGATCCAGTCTAACATCTGTCCTGTTTTCCTTTCTTTTATGGGATGTGTGTGGTTCATAAGGTGGGATTGGGCACGCTGCTCAGGACCACAGGATAGGCTCCTTCCGTCTGATGAAGTCGCCACTCACTCATCCGCGTATTGCACGGTCTTCATGAGTACAGCTGACCAGGGACAGTCCTGGTTCATGTTTTTATTGTCTGCCTGAGCCTGTCACAGCATGAAACACATGCTAGCAGTTCACAAAGATTGTTTGAAAACAGCACAAATCGTTCAGTG